GCGACTCACGGCAGCCCAGCTCCAGGTTGAGCTGTTGTTCAGCATCTTAGCTGTAGAGGGAAGTGTCACTGGCCCTCATATGTGGGATCCGAACTGGGGCCCTCTGGCGTCCCAAGCCAGCTTTTAACCAATGTGCCACTCGGCCGGCCCCTAAAATACATTCTTTAGAAGTTGCTTTATTGGGTGATTATTGATAGAAAACTATTTTTTTCCTGAAAATGTCTTACTTTGCCCTCATTCTTGGTAACAGTTTGAGAAGTCTGCTGTAAAACTCATTCATTTATAAGTGATGTCTTTTCTCTCTAGTTGCTTTGAGCTCTTCTTTGTGCCTTTGGTGTAGTTTCAATATGAGGTGTCAAGGTATAATTATTTCTCTTGTTTGCATGTACTTTTTGGGTCTAAGGATTTACATATCTCATTTCTGCAAAGTTCTTAGCCATTTATCTTTTCCTACATTGTCTTTCCCTCATTCTCTTTCTAGAATGTGTTTTAGATATCAAGCTGACCCATATGAACCTGTAATTTTACAGATCAAAATTAGTCCAATATTGGTAATCTTATTTGGTTTAACCCTCTATAACTATTTTCTATTAACTCCCTTGCATATTTTCCATTTTCTTATCTCAGAGATGCTTTCTGGGTAACTGACTTTATCTTCTACTTCACTACAGTCTCTTCAGTTGTATATAACTGCTATGAAGCACATTCTTTGGGTTTTTAAATTTTTTTTTTTAAAGATTTTATTGAGGAACTGGGGAAGGGGAATAGCCAAGTTGTTGTCCTTCAATCTTAGTTGTGGAGGGCACAGCTAGCTCAGCTTCAAGTTTAGTAGCCATCCGACCTCCCATCGGCAGTTCTTGGTCACTCAGCTCAAGGTGCCGTGTTAAATCTTAGTTGCGGGTGGGCACAGCCCACTATCCCATGTGGGAATCAAACCAGAAACCGTGTTGCTAAGAGCGCACGCTCTAACCACTGAGCCACCTGGCTGCCTGCCAGCAGCTTAGGGCAACTCAGCTCAAGGTGCCATGTTCAGTCTTAGTTGCAGATGGGAGAAGCTCACCATTCCATGCTGGAGTTGAACCAGCAACCTTGTTGTTAGGAACACGTCATGATCTCACCAGCTGAGCCATCCTGCCACCTGTTGGCAGCTCAGCTCGGGCGCAGCTCACTGGCCCATGTGGGAATCGAACCGGCGACCCTGTTGCTCACAGCTCATGCTCTTAACCAAATGAGCCACTTGGCCGGCCCCAATGATTTTTTAAAGTCATGTTTGATAGAGTCTTATTCCTTACTCATTTTTAATCCATTTTTTATCTCTTAAAAGCTTTGCATATACCTATTTAACAGTCTATGTCCAACAGTGTGACATCTCAAGTCCTTTGTAGGTCTAAATCTTACTCATTGGTTCTGACGACTCTCAAACTTTTGGTAATATATTTCTTTCTGTGTTTGCTAGTTGTTTTTTTTTGTTTTTGCTTTTTTGGGTTTTTTTTTTTTTGGAGGCGGGTGGTAAGGAATCAATCTGTAGGAATCTTGAGGGGCCCAGATTAACAAAGTTTCATCCACGCAGAATTTGTGTTTGTATCTGTTGGGTGTCAAAGAACACAGTTATTTGTGGCCCTTTCATTTCTTAATGTGGTGATTCCTTGATCAGGCAGGAAGTATACATTAGTGCCCCACACTCATGGGAGGCTAAGACCATGGTCACAAATACAAAAAGGAGACTATTTTATTCTAAACTGTCATGAAGACAGACAGGTTTCCTTGCTGCCTCCTTTTGCCAACAGGTAGCTTTTTTTTTTTAGCGTAACCTTTCACTGAGAGATGTAGCCACTTCAAAGATCCAAGAGCTTTGGACGTGGGGTTGATGAGCTGAGTGGCGGGTTTGCTGAGATCAATGGCCAGTGAGAGCGGGTGCTGGGGGCAGCCAGAGTCCGAAGTGGAGCAGGGCAGTGTGTGGCCAGGGCGATGGTGAGCATTGCTGGGAAGTGGTGCCTCATGGAAAGTGACCCTGGGGTCTTCACCAAGCTCATTAAAGAATTTGGTTGCCGAGGAGCTCAAGTAGAAGAAACAGGATTTTAGAGCCTGAGAATTTTGAAAAACGAAAGCCAGTTCACAGTTAACTGTTCTTTTCTTTTCTTTTTTTTTAAGATTTTTATTGGGGAATTGGGGGAGGGGAACAGCGCTGGGAAATTGGGGGAAGGGGAACAGACAAGTTGCTGTCGTTTTGTTCTTCAGTCTAGTTGTGGAGGACGTTGCTTCACTGACCCAAGTTGGCACCATCATTGTGCTCTTCCCGGGCAAGGCAGATCAGTCGCCGGCTTCTGGACGGCCGCTCACTGCGGCTGCTGGCCGCTCACGCTGGCTGCTGGCTGCACACGGTAGCCCATGGCAACCCACTGCAACAGGGGCTGCAGCCTACGCCGCCGTCGCCGGCGACTCACGGCAGCCAAGCTCCAGGTTGAGCTGTTGTTCAGCATCTTAGCTGTGGAGGGCAGTGTCACTGACCCTCATATGTGGGATCCGAACCGGGGCCCTCTGGCATCCCAAGCCAGTTCTTAACCATCGTGCCATTCAGCCGGCCCTTAACTGTTCTTTTCAAGTGGTTGCCAGAAGAACCAGCAGTATCTGTGGTTCAGGACTCAAGACTTGACACAGTATTTTTTGTCAAAAAGGTAATTAATACTGCTTGTGCTACTTGAGCCATGTTAACTGTGTTATTGAACTGTACCCACCAAGATGTCCATTTAGGAGAGGCATTATCAGAGTTTAAAAGAATTTTCACAAATTTTGATGCAGCTATGAAAGGTATGGCACTGAGCAATTCAGATATGATCTAACAAGTACACAACAGTTTCGCCAGACAGCAAATGTTTGAATTTGATGCAAAGACATCAGGAAAAGAAGATGCTTTTCACTTTGTCAGTTATGTTCCTGTTAACGGAAGATTGTTATGAATTAGATGGAGTAAGAGAAGGATCGAGTGATTTGGGATGCAAGCAATCAAGATGACTGGATGAGTGCAGTGAGGCTAGTCACAGACAAAAAAGACACAAAAGTACAGAGAAGGTGAAATTCGATTTAACTTAACGGCCATTGTGTCTGACAGAAAAATGATATATGAACAGAAGAAAGCAGAGTTGAAAAGACAACTTGCTGAGGAACCCATGGATACAGATCAGGGCAATATGTTGGTGATATTCAGCCAGAGGTTGCTAAAAATCAGATGCTTATTGAAGAAGTACAGAAATTAAAAAGATACAATTGAAAATATCAGAAGGAATCATAATTACCTGCCTTTCACTACGGAATTGTTAAAGGCTTTAGCAGAATATCAGCAGTTAATACCATGAGTAGAAAAGTCAAAAGAAAAACAGAATGCAAAGAAAGCACAGGAAACTAAATGAAGACAATGCTTTGAGTTATGCACACATTTCTGATTCTGCACTTATTTTCATGGAAACCATTAAGAATAAAGAGCTCTGAGCAACACCCTAATTGACTCGGTGCATGTTTGGCGATAGTACCTGTCTGTCTTGTCTTTAATGCATGGATTCATAACATTTTCCCTACATGCGTCATGTGCATGTAGTGCTGATTAAATAAAAGCAATGTTAAAAGTGCTTGCCCGAACTCCATTATCTGACATTGGATCTGTTTCTAGCAATTTTCATTGCTGCCAGTAGAAAAAGTAATAAACATCCCAAATTAAAAAAAAAGATCCAAGAGTCTTGCAGGACTAAGACTTTTATGCAGGAGTCTTAGTTCTCCACAAAGTCTCCTATCTCCATAAATCTCTAAAGCTTTTGTTTTAGTATCTGACAGCCTTACCTTCCGTTTATTTTTTAACAACTCTGATCTAAGTTCCCTTTTCATTTTTGGCACTTTAGAATTTGCCTTAATTTTTGTGATTAAAAATTAAAAATTAATGCATTAATTAAAAAAAAAATCTATCCAGTATTTAGGTGTTTTATAGCCATAGGGCTTTCCAAAGTACCTAGCCGGCCTTACTGCCAGAAACCTACATTCCCCCATTTTTCAGGAATTTCTCAAATAAACACTAATGCCTAAATTTCATATGTATTACTACATTCTATACAACTACTACAGCTTCACTAATTTAGGTAAATGGTAAAGGAAGTCAGATTAAGTTAAAGTCAGAATCACAGAAGTGTCTTTAGGAAGAAATAAGTTTGGTTGATATCAATAGCACACAGTATTTGATCTTAGCTAATAAAGCTTTAAGTACATGTACCAAATATTTTTAATTACAAGTCACTTTTATTCATTATACACTCTGTACATAGTGCTGGAATATCATTTGTTCTTCTAAGTGAATTGAAGATGACCCCTGAATTTTTTTATATTTATTTTCTAAGCAAATTAATGATTTTAGGTAGACTGAGCAAAGTAAAGCTTTTGCTCAAATAATAAGAAATTCTTAAATTACGAGTAAAAAGACGTTACATCTTATAATTTACATATACTACAAAGGTATCAGGCTCAGATTCAAAGCATTATATCTAGATGAACCAAGTATTTACTAGTGACTTGAGAATAAAAGTTATAAACACTCTAAGCCTACGTAAACTAAATTTTTTGACTGAGATATTATGAAAATGTGCCTTTATTTAGGAAGTTTCATAATCAACTACTAAATTCAATTTCAGATATCCAGTAAAGCATTTTAAAATATACAATTACAAATTAATTTCTTAAAAACTAGCATTTAACATTGCAAAAGGATTTTGCAACATTTTCCCACACGTAAAAGATTAGCCCATAATTCTTTACCTCTCCAGCACCTGCACATTCCTTTGCTCTCCTGTGAAGTGCAGCCCATGTATCTTCATACCTAAGAAAAATAAATATCATTCAAAATGAAAACCACATATTAAAATATAGACTATCTAAAGATAAACCTGGAACATCCTATGGTGCCAGAAAGGAAAAGCTCAAAAAATAATGGGGAATAGCTCAGTTGGTTAAGAGCTCGCTCAAGAGTGCAGGCGAGCTGTGAGCAAGAACGGTTCAATGCCCGGCCCGAGCTGAGATGCCACTGAGCTGCGAACAGGTGGCAGGATGGCTCAGCTAAAAAATAATAATAATAATGGGGATATGGCACAGAAGTCAACTGAAGAGGCTTCCAATGGCCAAATCTGGGAGAATATGAGCAACGAAATAAATAATGGTAGTAATGTGTTAGGTTATAACTTGAAGAATAAAACAAACTTCTATGAGTTCATAGTTATTCAAACAAATAGCTGAATAAATAAATGGGGGAGAAGGGAAAACATCTTTCTTACAGTAGAATTCCAGCGGGTGATTGTAGAAAAAATGATAAAAATAGAAAATCATTTGATAAACAACAATAATTGTTTCAGGCAAGAATTCTAATGAATGCTAAAATTAATGGGTTAAATTATGAAGAGAAACAGGGTACTTACATAGTCTCAAAGTATCTCCCCACAGGATACTCATTAATTATAAAGGGGGAAACAGTATTAACAGTGGAGAAACTGAGAAAACACTTCCCTAACCAAGTGATCAACAGTAATGAGGCTTATCAACATCATGTGCCTACTGATATGATACACTGGGAAAGGCACAACACTACTCTCTTGGTATGCTTGCCAAAAAGGCACTAACTTGAATTTAGTCACGAGAAAATAGCAGATAAACCCTAATTGAAGGACGTTTTGCAAAATAACTGGCCAGTACTCTTTAAAAGTGTCAATGTCATGAGGGCCGGCTGAGTGGCTCAGTTGGTTAAGAGCTCACTCAAGAGTTTGAGCTCTGAGCAACAGCGGTTCGAGTCCCGGCCCGAGCTGAGAAGCCG